CGTCTGCGGCAGCCGGGGCTAACGTCAGCCCGTCTGCGGCAGCCGGGGCTAACGTCAGCCCGGTTGCGGCAGCCAAGGGTCCGGCAAACAAACTATAGCATCTTCAGTGGTTGCTCTGTCCCCTCAGACCATAACATCATTCATGCATCATTCATCTTTAAGTGGACCTTGACTCGGAAGCTAAAACTTTAGCATCAGCATCCAAATCAGCATTTCACTTTAAAGGTCTTTATTTCTCCTGCAACCTCTGAGACCTTCAGGAAATCTAAATCAGCCTCCGAACAGAAATCATTTCAGGTTTAATTAGGAAGGAGAAAATTAGTGGAAATTGGATAATTTTCTATCAACATTTTCTCATTTTCCTTTTTGAATGATAACTTCATTCAGGTTAAAATAGATCTATTAATCCATCAATAAAAAGCCTGTTGCTTTAAGCTAAGGCAGTCAAATGGGAGAAGGGAGCAGAAGCTTTCAGTGATTAGTCGGCCAGTGTGTCTTTATGTGTAACTCTACTCTCATTCCCAATCTGACTTTAGCCTATCGGACTCCAGCAGTGAGAAGGAGAAGCCCCGCCCCCGGAGGCTGTCGCCATGCCAACAGCCAGCTGGTTTCCCCTGTAAGGACTCCAGCGCTGCAGCAGCCATCCCCAGCAGAGACCCGGCCATAGGCGGCCGTCCAGGGAGAGACCTGTCTCCGTCCACCCAGAGGGAACAGGGGGAGGGCTGGGACCGTGAGCAGGCCAAGAGACTGGAAGAGAGGAACAAGTGGTTCGAGGGAGGGGTCCTTCTTAGTGAGATGAGCAGCAGGTGGGACTCCATGGAGCTGAAAAAGGGCAGTGTTCCCATCCCGGTTAATGAAGCCGTTGACTCTGAAGTCAACAAGAAATGGACAGAGTTTGAGACCTCATTCAGGGACGCAAGCGTCCATTCTCTCATTGGTGAACAGGCCTATCAGTCAAAGTCTCCAGACATGTCAGAGTCTCTAGTTAGCTCTCAGACTAATCAGCCATGCCCAGATCAGGTCAACCAGACATCAGTGACCTCCTCAGGCATGGTTCTTCCCTCCGTAAATAACCAGATCCTTCAAACTAACCAGGCTGAAGCTCAGAAAGAGGTAAGCTAACGATTCCTTCAGGGCAAATGAAACTGTGCTCATCCTAATGTTTGATACAAATCAACCTCCCAAACTAACTCTCTTCAAAAGCAGGTTGAAAGCGCCATGGGGGTGGATGTGGACAGTCCCTGCGGCCCTGGAGCTCCATGTAGGGCCAAGCTGGAAGCCATAGAAGTAGCCCATCGAAAGGAGCTGCAGGCGCTGCAGGAGAAGCATTCCAGGGAGAAGAGGGAGCTGCAGGAGGAGAGAGATCATAAGCTGCAGCAGGAGAGTCAGGCAGCTGCTAAGGGTTAGCCAACAAGCGCTGAAGGATGTTTTATGCTCAGGAACCAGGTCGTCTGCGTGTGTGTTGCGGTTAACGCAGATATGCTCCGCCCCCTTCTGCAGACACTCTGCAGCACCTCTCCAAAACTGTAGGTGACCACAGACGCAGGCCTCTGATTGGTCAATTCAACATCCTCTCTATGCGTATTTCCTGTTTGCTTCCTTACCGGCTTGTTCTGTTTGTCTGACCGCCATTGTGGAAAACGACTGGTGAAGATGGAGCAGCTGGCAGAGCGAGAACGCTGGGAGCCTTTTCCCACCTGGATCCCCGCTCTTTATGGCCCTCACTTCCTCACCGCCTCGGCCGTAACTAGACCCACAGCTAGTTCCTGATTGGCCCTCTGGCGTTGTGGCGTGGAATAACAGTGCAGACCACGCTTCAATATTGGGCAGAAATCAAACGTATCTGCGACTCACTGCTGGATGATAACCAGACCTTTAGGCCCGATGGGATTTATTGCCCCATTTCCAGATCAATCGCCAGAAGAAAGTCACAGTTTTTGAAACATCTTTAAAATCGATGTAAATCGTAATCCTAACCAACCAATGATATTGAGGGACAGATATTTGGTCTCCATCACAGTTTATGTGCCTGAAAATAGCCTCGACCATAAAACCCTCGGAGATCAAAGATGGCAGAAGCTCCTCTTCAGGTTTTATCCTTGAATTCTGATGAAGCCGCTGCAGAATAAGGAAAGTTCAAACTGGCATTGCTGGAAATGAGGCTCCGTCAACAAACTGGAACCTGTAGAATTATAGGATGTTATGGAAGTTGATGTAAAGATATCATGTCCATCACATACCTGTGTTTGTGGAGCATCATCTGGAGGAGGAGTCCACTGTTAGCTTGTTTTCTCTCATGTCTTGTTAATAAGAAGTCGGCGTAATGATTCGGTCCAGTTCTTTTCTTGATGCGGTTAAAAAGCGAGCAGACAGCGCCCCCTACTGCTTCAGGAACTACAGTGATGCAAAATGTGGAATGTTTTAGTTCCTTCTGGGATAACTGGGGATGTTTAAGTGGTTTATGGTCCCAGAGAGGCGTGCAGAGCGCGGCGTGCAGAGCGCGGCGTGCAGAGCGCGGCGTGCAGAGCGCGGCGTGCAGAGCGCGGCGTGCAGAGCGCGGCACGCGGCGACATCGCTGTAATCATGGTAATAAATCCTGGTTTCCTGACGGACTGTGAAACCAATCATTTCACTAATTATTCCTGGAATCAGAGCCGACTTTTCTTAAAACTGTGCATCAGCTCTTCATGACCGTTTGCTGACTGATGAACTTCTTTTCATCAAAGCTCTGGAGGCGCTGAAAGCAGCTCACAGGGAGGAGTTGGAAAGAGAGGCAGCGAAGACGAGAAGGCTTCATGGTGGAGCAGCAGCTTCCTCTTACAGACCTCACATGTATGTTTATTCTAAGCTCTCTCTTCTGCTACGATTAAACTACTTCCTCCAGCTCAACAATAAGATGTTCCTTACTCTGTAACCAACCTCTATGTGCATTTATCTACATCAGGCCCGAGGCAGAGGTGTTGCACAGCGAGTTAAACGTGCTTTCAGAACGCTACTCTGAGAAGTGCCTGGAGCTGAGAGGCTCTGAGCAGAACAGCGTGAGCCTGGACACCCGGCTGGAGCAGAAGAAGAGAGAGATGGAGCAGCTGCAGAGGGAAAACCAGGTAGCTACACATCACCTGGTTATTCCTCTCAATGGTCCCAGGGATATTTACCCTCCCAACATGTCGCCATGGTAACAAGGGGTTCCTCTTTCCAGGAGCTGAAGGCCAAGCTTGCAGAGGAAATCAGTCGAATGAGATTTTTCATTACGGGTCAAAGGTCAGATGTGGTCTCACTTTGCAAAACTGAGGCGGCTCCTTTGGATTTAGAGGTACTAAAACTTTTTTTCTCCGGTGAAACTTTACCTCCGTGAATAATCTCAGAACTTTACCTCCGTGAATAATCTCAGAACTTTACCTCCGTGAATAATCTCAGAACTTTACCTCCGTGAATAA